GCGCTAAAGCAAAGCAATTTTGAATATCTATAATAAAAGTGAAGATGAAGTTTTAAGATTATTAATATCAAAATTATCTCGTATGGATCGTCTAACCTGCCAATACATCAAGAAGAATGGTTCGATTTGTAGGAAAGAATGCTGGCGTGCTTCAGGATGTACCATACATTATAAAACCCATCCTAAAACAATATACCCTGTCTGTAATGAGCTAACCTATTCTCGCACTGGAATTTGTAACACACATAGTGGAATTTATGATCATGTCTGGCGTGAAAGTAAAAAAACTAAACCAGAATCGACCTCTTTGGGATTAACTGATATAGTCAAGATACTTGGCTGAATAACAATCTGGACTGGAGAACTATTTTTCCTTATCCTATAGAATTAAAAAGTTCCTGAATCTCATTATCTGCATTTGACCTATATGGTGGAAGTTCTGGTGTGCCTTTATCTCCAAAACCAAAACCATCATATGGCTGGTGATTAATTTTGTATGAATATTCTCAAACCTGCTGTTCCTTAGAACCTATTTTTTTCCGATTATTTTTAATTGTATAGCCACACCAATTATCAGCGATTGCATTAATTGTCTTTATGACCGAATTAAGGTCTGGCTAATTTTTTGTACGAGACTTAAAGCCAAAGAGTAATAAAGACTAACTTCGAATTTCTATAAACTTTTCACATGATTGCGTGAATGTTTCTGATACCATATTACCAGAAAGGATACGCTTATCATCTATACCAGTAAAGCCTAGTATTTGAAAGAGTTCTCTTATAGCCTTCCAATGATTAGCTGAATATGATTTGTGCAAGTCTTCTGCTACTGATTTCTCAATATTCTCATTAGCTTTATAATGAGTATCTTCCTATTGCGCAATATCTTAGCCTCTAACCCTTTTATTGTACTCTTCTCATCATAGCCTTGTTTTCAGAAGTGAGATAACCTCAAGAAATGTTTCCGAGGTTCAGGCGGGCTAAAATATTTTACAAACTTCTTATTGCAAAGATTATTCCAAATCTCATTATCCATATCTTTACCATCATAAATATTTCGCATATAGAAACGTTTAAGTGTCATAGTATCTGGAATAGAGTGCTCTTGGTCAAACTTAAGATTTTCAGCTTCTTCAGGATCAAGATTTCGGAAAGTAGCAACTGCATCAAAATCTGTTTCCTTGATAATTAATGCTTTAATCCTAACCTCATTGCGAATCCTTTTACGATTTCCTATAACTCCTCGGTTTTCATCTATTTTTATAAGTTAGAGAGAAGCACCTGTACTAGCTATAAGACTGCATGATATCTCAATGAAATTTCTTACAGAAAGACGTTTCCGATGCTCAACTTTGAGGTATGATATTATGGCAGGTGATTGATCAAGTTTATATGATACAATATTTTTATCCTATTCACAATGGCCTCTTATTGCTGTAGGCAAATCATTAGGCCTAGCACTTTCGAGTTCAGCACAAATATTTTTATAACCTGCTGGGCGAAAAAGCTTATTGGAATTTTTTTGATAATAGAGGAATAGTATGCGCTTTTTACAATCACGAATCCGAAACATCATCTGAATAAAGGCTTTAACATTAACTGGAGTTACAATATTTGTAATTCCTATAACTGCATCAAAATGATCAGTCTTTTCAAAAGATATGCCTGCTTCTATTGTACTTGTATAAGCTACACAATCAAGTTTACCCCAAGCAGTATTTATATCTGAAAAATCTTTTTTTCATTGTTTTCCGTCCATATCCCATAATAAGCATAGGCTCTAATAGGAGAATTATCAGGTCTTTGCAATTTAGAGACTTTTTCTGCTAATGCTCGGGTCATACTGCAACTTATTAGAATGAATGCCACACGCTTGCCCTATGTAACAACTCATATTCTATTCGCATAGCTTCAGCCCTGCTATTTGGATCATAAAGGTACTCAACAGTTTTAACTACAAGAGGTTGAAATTTATTATCAATCACTCGAATATTTTTATCACGATAAGCTTTAAGAAAGGTTAGAGTCGATTTGTTTCTGAAGGCATCCATTGCAAGTACATGCTAGGCCATTTTTAATATATCACGTATCGCATTCTCAGATTCTCATGCATTTGCACCACTACTCATTTGGTGATTAATTGCATTAATTTCATCTAAAATAGCTACAATCGAATGGGATAAGAACTCTATACGAGAAAGGCTCTCAACTTGAACTATAATAATATCCCACTTATCTATAAATAAGTTTTGTTTGTCTTGATAATTACAGATTCTAAGTCCGGATAATTTAAAATCATTAATTTTACCCTGCGATTCATTACTAAGAATTTTTCGGTAAGAAATCCAAATAATGCAAGGCAAACTAGCTTGATTTCTGGCTAAGGAATTGAGATATTTTCTTAAACCTTTTGTTTTTTCTGTCATCATAGGGGAGCGAATCAAAGTTGTACTGGTCTCTTTACTCAAGAAATCAGGATAAGCTTCTGAGAAATCTTCTATTTTCTTTACATTAATAACTTTTCCAGATAGTTCAGGAAGTGGGTATGGGTTTGATATGGCAGAAGCCATTCTATCAACAATTTTTGGTTTAGGTTTTTCTTCAGCTTGATTATACCTGATGCTTTCCCAAATGCTAATCTTTTATGATCAGGCTTATACTGTTTCTGCCGATAACATCTAAGTATAAAGCATCCATCATTTCGAAGAAAACTATATAACTGATCTCTTTCATGTCTGATATTACAGATAGGGCATACTTTTAATGACCACGCTTGAAAGATAACAAATCCCTTTCTAATGCTAGCAATCTCAAGCCATTCATATTTTGCGATAACTAAATCAGCTCTCTTACTTAAGGTGGTTTCATCTTTGATAGGCTGAAATCTCTCTTCTCTTTTTGGCTTCTTAGAAGAAAAGGTTCGAGGCCAGACTTTAGAACAATAAAATTTTGGTTGAACCAAATAATCCTCTAGATTGTGATATCCTTTCTTAATTGAAGAAATTGCAGGTCTTTTGATTCTATCTCCCTTTGCTGATCCAAAAAGACGAAGACTAAAACATGATTTGTAAAGCGTGAGATCAATAAATTCAGAATATGGTTTTCCAACCCTATCTGCAACTTTTTCTACAAAACCCCTGAGATCTCTATAATCAATAAAGTGGGCATCAGAACATACAATATGCTAACTGCATTTATCATCATTAGACGAATTAGCTAAAGCGAAAGCATTTAAAGTTATGAGATATTTTAAATCAGAGTATAAAATATCAGTGCAGGCAATTAAGATTCTGGATAATAAATCATTATGAGAAATTTTATATTTATTTAAAGAGGGAAGTTCAGAATTCATGAGATCGGGCTTCTGCCTCGCATCAATATCCAGAACAAGACGAAGAGGCAGGTTCCTATTGTTACATTTATGAGAATCAGAAATTCCATAAACTTCGGATAGATGATTAACAACTGTAAAGCCCTTATCTGCCACCCGAATGATATATTTATCAAAAATCTCTTCAGGATGATAGGCATCTAGAAGAGCGATATCATCTTTACTATTAGACAAATATTGGAAATACACATGGGAGCTGATTTATTAAAAATGGGTGACGGGAACTTTTTACAAAAAATGAGATTTTTGATTTATATTATAGTATATTATATGAACTTTATTTGGTTAAATTTTTAGAGGCT